TTAACATTTTTTTTACACCAAATAGCGCTTCCGCCTTAGCTACCTAGTTATTCTGGCTGTGGCTCTGCGAATATCGCTCGTTATTATGCTATTCTATATTGTTGTTGTTATTGTTATTGTATTTGTTGTTGTCGTTTTTGTTGCATTGCTTTTTTAGCCATAATGAATGCAATTTTCAAGTTTTCTGCTCTCATTATCGCCACATCAGGAAGCGAATACTCTCGTGTACGAGCATGTGAAGGGGAGTACTTCAAGGCGAAACGCTTCGCATATCAACCCTTTCGTAAATCTTTCCTTTTGAATATTTGCATTCGTATTGCCACTGCATACACCGTGTATGGAAATATGCAAATGTTGTGAAAGGTTGTGTTTCGATACGCCATATATCGCACAGTGAATCTTAGTTGGAGATTTGGACTTCTAGCATAGTTACGAGACCCCGAAAACATTTCGACAAAATTCTTTTATAAGCCATGAACTCGATATTTAAATAAACTCTCTCTCTCTCTCTCTCTCTCCATATTCCTCTCTTATGACGTTTTAACGCTCTTCTTAAAATGGATTATCACGTCAGAATCGATCTTGTCATATCCCAAACAATTTGAAGCTGTTGTGTATTTCGAAAGCTCTAACAAGAGTAAGTGCGAAATCGCTGATGAGTTTTATCCAAGTCTAAAAATATCCGTATGTCATTTTTCTGTCTCGTCTTTAAGTGAGGATCTCCATTTTCCTCTGCTAAAACCAGCTAATGCCATGAACACCCAAAGTTAAAAGTAGTGATTGGTTTCAAGAGTATTTATGGACTAATTTAAGGACTCTTAAAGCTAAATTTATTATTAATAAAATTTATTAAACTAATCACGATATTTATTAAATTAATAAACATAAATTATATATTCTCCATAATTTGATTTAATACGTCATTTAATGCCGAGTCGCTCTCTCTGAAACCTTGTACCTATATTTTAATAAGAGATATTATTTCTATCTTTTCTTATATTTGGCTTCCCTTTCCTACGTTCCAAATATTAAACTCCCTAACTTTAGCTCTCAGTGACGCTCCCATAGTATTTGCCTTGCAACCTGATTTCTCCCTGCAATTTAATCAACACTCGAGTCGGTATTACGTCCTCGATTATGTCAGGCACTACTTATACAGACAGTTTTCAAACCGAATAATTAAGTCTGCGACTATCAATTTCGTATTCGTTTTCAATCCTTTTTATACCTTGAACATGGTATATTAAGTTTGCCACGATTTTTTTTAACATTCTGAAGGATGTGTCGAAGACCTTTTATTATATATTGTAGTATATATACACAAGTATATAAATGATCATCATGACGGGCTGAGTCGCTTTAGCCATTACCGTCGGTCTGTCTGTATATAAGCGAACTAGTCCCTCAGTATTTGAGATATCGATCTGAAATTTTGCTCACGTTCTTCTCTCACCAAGAAGTGGCTTCTTTTTGGAACCGCCGATATCGGACCACTATAGCAGATAACTGCCATACAAACTGACCAATCAAAATCAAATTCTTACATGGAAAACTTTTTTATTTAACAAGATATCTTCACAAAATTTGCCATGAATTATTGCCCAAGACAACGCTAGAATCTCAGAACGAATTGTTCGGTTTTCTTGTTTTTAACACATTCTGCTCACACTAATGATTCTAGCCCACTGTAGAGTGTAGCTGAAGAGTGCGAAGCGATTAGACACAGTGCCACAATATTTCAACATGAACTCTGCTCTTCCGGCTGTTGAAGGCGCTACTAAAGCGTGCAGTTTTTTTGCAGTACCTCGACACAGTAACACACACTTAAGCAAGCTTACAACAACAGTAAGAGCGAAAAACCGCTTCACATACTTTTGGGCGCACAAGAAGAAAACAAATTCAAATTTGTTTTTGCGGCTTACAAGCGATTGTTTTTACAGGCGCCGCCTATAAGTTATAACCGTTATGCACACGCTAGTGTTGTTATTATTGTTAACGCTTTATTGTATTTCTACTCACCGCCTGCTCGGCATTCTTACAGAGAGATAAACGCGATGCAAATACGAAAGACGCACAAAAACATTGCAGTCAACACTTTAATTTAACTGTCGGAAATGTGCGAAAACGAAGACACACAGCAAACAAAACCAAGCACTACGCGTACACAAATAAAAAAAGGAAATTTAAAAGTAAGCAACAACTTTACGCGGACTGCAGCAGTAAACGCTTCGTAAGCCTTTGGTGCGGCATCCGGCGGAACAAAAAGCGAAAAGCAAAACACCGTTGCAATTTGTTGCTGATGAAAATAAATTTTGTGCCATCAAGCGAGACACCAGGCAAGGCGCGAACTAAGGCAATAATTGCGGCAGCGGCAAGCGTTGCCAGTGCTGTCACAATGCAATAAATGCAACAACAATAATAAAGACAAAAAATAACAAGCGCCAAGATCATACAACATTCAACCTTGCCACATTTGTTTTAGTATATCAATCGTCATCTGCATTTCTCACCCACGGCTTAACCAACCTTAAGAATATATATAGAATTTAATATTCATTCACAGCTTTCCTGCTGCCATGATTTTATGTACTTAATCCTGCTGGGTTCATTATTTTTATCTATCACAATGAATAAATGAATTGCTGAATGAAAGAATGAATGCGAGTAGCGAAAGGTATTGCAAAATTTAGCCAATACAATAAAAAATCCACCGCAGAGCAGATAAAACTTACAGTAATATACATTTGTAATATGTTTTTAGGAGGAGCAGTTAAATATTTGAATGAACAGTTAAATAGCAGGAAAACTTTAATATTTTTTTTCAATCTTCCACCTAGAGTTCACTGTTCGTTACTTCCTGTAGATTTATGAAGAATTCAGCGTTCCCAGCACTAATAATTCTGAATGCATTCGCGTAACCCTCAGCTCAGCTTACCATAAGACTGTTAATCTCAAAACAATATTTATACTCTGAACATGGTATATTAAGTTTGTAATACCCAGAAGGAAACGTCAGAGACCCTATAAAACATATATATAAATCATCAGCGTGACAAGCTGAGTAGATTTAGCCATGTCCGCCAGTCTATCCGAATATACGCAAACTAGTTCCTCGGTTTTGAGATACCTATCTCAAAATTTTCACACCCTTTTCTCCCCAAGAAGCTGCTCATTTGTCGAAACCACCGATATCGGACCACTATAGCAAACAGCTGTCATACAAATTGACCGGTAAAAATTAAGTTCTTGTATGGCATCTTTTTTATTTGGAAGGATATTATAGCTTCGGTGCTACCGAAATTAAGATTTTTTCTTGTTTTATTTACTTATCCACCCAGATTTCACGTTTGTTGCTAGAAGTACAATAGTTAATGATGTTCTGTGCCTGTAATTCTAAACTCATTCACTTGACCCCAGCTTGAGCACCCTTGACTCCCTGCTTGACTCCACGTGGCTTCTAGCTTGATCGATGCATATTTTCAGCAGATAATTTAAAGAGAAACGATTGCGCTAGACTTCAGCAAAAAATATTTGTTAAATATTTTTCATACAAAACTTCCCTAAATTTAAAGAGTTTATTAGTAATGCTTCATAAATATCACTCTTTAACACTGGCTATATCGAAGCGCTTAAAACATGATAGTAACCAATTTTCTTTATCTATGGAAAAAACATATTTCAAAAGAATAAATTTTACAATTAAATGATATTATTGTAGAAACATTAAGATATTTAGTCCACATAATCAAATCAAAAGCAGTCAATGCAAAACGCTCTATGTATCCCGAAAATAGTCTCGTAGCATTCATAACTGACTCATAAATACAACTTGTACTACAACTTCACATACAAACTCACCCCAGTTTACCATAAGGTTGTTCATCTCAAAACAATATTTTTAAGTAAACATTACATCAGACAGACCTAAGAATAACAAGTTAAATACTCACCCTACCAAAATCTTGCTGAACGACTCCACTGCAGAGAAGCTAACCAGCTGTTCCGCTTGGCGCGTGCCTCTGAGTCACAACTGTGGCGACGAATGTAAGAATGCTGCCACACTATAAACGCCACGTGCGCCCAAAATACAAATTCCGAAGCTCTACAAACAACATAAGCGATCAGTGGATTAATTGATACGTTTGTGGTGTACGATGATATTGAACAAAGCTTAAAGTTTAAAGTTAAAGCATTATTGTTGCAACAGTGCTTTATAGACGTAGCGCTTGATGATGACGAAGAAGAGTAAGACAGTATCTACGACGGAGTGGGAGAAGCGGTAGATTTTTGTGACAATGTCATGAGAGTCTTATAAATTCTGATAGGATGTCTTTGATTCAAAGAATTTGATATAACTAGATACAATGTTATGACGCGTAAATATCATATAAACCAAAAAACCTGGAAAGATCATGGCTGTAGAAAGCTCACGACATTTTAACTCTTAATTACAGTGAAAGTTCGATATTTATGTTCGAACATTCTTGGCTTGCAATAAATAAAATAAAATATTTGTATCGACTTTTCCACATCATATTTCTTTCCCGCTTAATGAGTTTATTCACGAATTTAAATTCATCGCACTTCACATAACTGTTCATAGCTTAATTTATGCGATTTTTCACCTTTTGTCACACATTTCTAAAATGCAGTATCTCTTGAAAAAGTAATATATGAATATGCAATATTTATAAGGCAGTGGAGAAACGAATGAAATCACAAGTTGCAGAGAAATGTTTGATGCAGATATATTGATGTGTAAATTTTGTGTTTAATGAATGCAAACACATCGATGGATGGATCTACACTTGTACAACCGACTGTTTTAAAGTCAAACTAACGAGAGAGGTATGCAAATACGTAATCGAATACTTACGAAGGATTACTATTACATCATTGTAAATATATATGTGCTCATTTATAGTAGGTTTCATAGAGATAAAACTTTTCCATAAGCATACCTTTTTTAAATAAATAATATTTTTCTCAAAACAAATTTCTAAAAATTTTTTAAAATATTTAATACTAATTTATTGTTCAATATTTTAAATAATATCAATAATATTCTATAAACAACTCAACCCAAACCACGCATATGATCGGTATTTCGATTCACTTGCGGATATTCACGTAGTTTTGGCGCTCTCCTTCTTGCAATTGTTCCACCAACGTCATTAGAATCAGCCACCGCGCCAAGAATCAACTGCAGCAGAATAATTAAGAGTAATGAAAAGTATACGAAATTCATTTCGCTGATTTGATGTACATATGTAAGTGTGAGTGTATGTATGTATGGTATATTTTTAATTATTCGCAGTGTCTTTAGAACGTTCTTAATCTCAAAACTTTTACTACCTTCAAACGTCTGATGCCCATAACTGAGGCAAGAAGTCTTTTTATACGAACTAAACCAGCTTGAATTTTAGAATGGTTCTCCAAGAGTGCAAGCAACCGGTTTGAACAGTTTTGGAAGCAAAAAAGTGGGCTTGGCAACACATTATACACGCTTTGTGCGTAAAGTTTGGATACTTTTCTGCAATACTTGCTCATTACTTTTTTATAAGTACGAGTATGTATTAACATATTTATGAATCAGCCACCAAATTATCAAGTAAAAGTAAATTAAATTCTTAATTGATACTGGCAAATAAATATATGATGTAATTTCAAGAATTGTAGCGTCACAAGCAGTTTTCCTTTTGGTTCGTTCTACAAATAAATGATTTTTAAATGATCTGTCGAATTGCATAGCCTTTAAATTAAAGCGATGATGCAATATTCATGCTGACCTTTGTCGAAAATCGGCACGCATTTCATAACAGCTGCTATAAAGGTTTTCTAAATTCTTCTAAAAATAATATCTAATGGTTCTTTACAATACTTAAAACCAGTCGAATATAACATGAAATTATATAAAGATGTTAAAATAATCAGTATGAGGAGTTGTCTCTCTTCTCCGTGCGTCACTTCATCTATCTGCTGTCATTTGTCGGTGTGTTTTACACTCTTATAAACCGTACACTCTCACCTTACCTTTAACCTCACATTTGTAGCCATAAGAGAAAGGCATTTTCTTTCGCTGTTCTCTTCTTCTTCTTCGTCCTGAAATTATAAATTATTGCTAAGTTTTTTATTTCAACGTCATTGTCTTCTACTTATACTGGCAGCTGCCAATTGATTTATATTGAAATGTGCGAATTTTTAATTACACAATATTTAGCTGCAAATTGTCGATATTTGTCATTTTCGTTTGCCTTTGACGTAATTTGATATGAAATAATATTATTTTTGTGTCGTAATTACACAGATTTGTGAATATTTATACATATTATGAACATTTGCTCAAATTTGTGCGAGTACAGTTTTTTGTATTTATAGAGTTAAGGGGTGTAAGAATTAAAAAACTACTTTATTAATTGTGTTATAATTTTAAGCGTATATTTTTACACATATTTTAAGTAAACACAGTTCGATTTTTGAAGAAAAAAATGTAATATTTTTCGAGCTACTTAATATCTGAAATATTTACTCGAAAATCAAGCGATCTGATCAATATAATCAGTATATGGGGTTATTGGATAGGTATGAACCGATTTTAGCCTTCTTTATAGCGGTAATAATGTATATACTAGGTTCATATATACCTGTCCAAAATCCCAGAAAACGCTAGCTTTAAGCTCTAATATTAAGGATTAAGCATTAATATTTTTAGTAATAAAATATCGTTACATACAATACAAAAAATTATATATACAAAATTCCACCAAACAGACTTTGCCATCCAACTTGTCACAGCTTTACAAAACAAAACGAACAACGCATATTTTGCGAAAATCAATGAACTACCAATTCAAACCCATTCGACGACCACCAGCACCATTTAACCTCAATAAAAAGCTATTTAAGCACATTGGCATTGTGGTAATCCGCAACAAAAGCATCCACACACAGAACAACAACTGTACACACTTGAGTGACATCAATCGCCGTAAATGCGAAACAAAATAGGCAGTTCAGTTTACAGCTTGAACCCGACACTAAACGAACGCATGCGGCGACACAGGCCACGAACCCCACAACCCACAGCAACGGCAACAAATACTAAAGCAATGGCGGAAGCTCAAATAACAAACCGCTATCAAATCAACACCGTCATCACTCACTGTTTTCCAAAAGCACTAACGGCACTACAACCCCATAACCCACTCATCCAACTCATTTTTCGACTAATCAACCAGCAACTGGCAACAACAACAGACCAACAAACTGTGTGTGTGAAGAGTGAAATGTGTTGTAACGCAAGAATTTCAGTTATGTCAAGTGGCTGTCGCTGTTGGCGGGATTCATTGTTGCCACTAACGGTACTCTTAGTCGTAGTTGTTTCGTAGTGCTGTTATTGTTGTTGTTGCTGCTGGTGTTATTTCTTCTTATACGAACCAGCTCTATAGCTACTACCACCTTCGCTTCTCCAAGTGGCATCTCACCATTCCCTTTTCTCTCTTTTCTCACTACGCTTTTCCGCGCCTCTGTCGACGGCTTCAATTAATAGCCCGATTTGATTTTACATTTAACGATTTTCGCACTTAATTAGAAGCGAAAAAAGCCGGCAAACCATGATTTCATTAAATGTGAAGATGAATTTTAATTAAAATCCTTTTCACTTCGTGCCAACGACAGGCGAAATGCTCGAACTGCTCTCGTGCGCGTGTAGCGTGCGACTCGCAGCACTTTCAAAATTCAAAATCTTAAGTTTTACTTCGTTGAATGGCGCTGAGCCGAATTGAGTTTATTTGATGGTAAGTGTCTAGAAGATATACCAACTCAATAACCAACAGCCACAACAACAAATACCGGCATTTTATTGTTTCTTTACAACTTGTTGTAATTTTACCTTGTGTATATGTTGTTGTTGGCTTCGTTTAAATGTCGCTGCTCCCGAAGTGACTTAATAAAGTCTACTCTCACTACGAACAAAACAAGGATAAAGGGTACAAGTGTTTGGGATCATTGTGTAACTGACGCCCACTTTTTTCTTTTGATAGAAATTTTCGCCGTTTCATTGCCTTAATTTATGTTAAATGAAAATTGAAAATTAAACTTCGTTCATAATGGTTTTAGAGGTTGCAGGGGGAGAAGTTATTGTAGGTACTCATGGTACTCATGGAATGACTTCGACGTAAATTTGAGATTCACCCAGCACTTAAAAGTGTTAAATAGTGAATTAAGAAAATTCCGTTATTAAAGATTACGCCAAAGTAAAAATGGAAAAATATTCATGTGATATTCCTCAGGTCCGCTCCATAATATTAAGTTAAGATTGAAGTTATCCAAATATTAGGCTAAGGTTGAGAGTATACCATCTATTTTTGGAGAATGCTAGTTTTACTCTGCGAGAAACTTTATTTCTCCAATTTGTAATATTTCTTCAATTTGACACTCACAATGAATGAGGGTCGCTAATATATCACAGAGCTGGGCAAATTTCAACTGATCTAATTTGCCTCGGACTGGGCCATTTAAACTTCTCGCGCAAACCGTTTTGATAAAGTAAAAAATTAGCCGAAAAAATCATGTCGAAGTCGGTCAAAAATTAAAGGTGATGCCCATCGTTTCTTTGATTACTGTGGTGTGGTCAACATAAACTCATTCTACAGGTTGGAACGATCAATAAGGAATACTATTTGGCGTTTGGCCGTTTTGAGGCGTCTACGTGAAGTAATTTGGCGTAAGTGGCCAAATTTGGGGAAAAACACGAACCTTAAGTCATCAGTCACCGTATTCGCTAGATTTGGTTTCGGAGAAAGCGTCATGAGTCCAATAAAAGTCAAGAGCTCAGACTTATAACAAGTGTATGGAACAATAGATTAAGAGTTGACATGTTGGTATTGGCTCAAAAGGAACCTATTTTGAAAACGATAATAAGGAATATATATATATATATAAAAATACGTAAATTTTGCCAGTCCGGGTCAAATTTGATCAGATGACTTTAAATTCTCGATGATGATTCGAAGATAAACGTACGTAATTGGACACTTATTCGCAATTATGGTAGCTTATCTAGCTTTGGTACAAGTACTCTATTGAGAAAATCGGAGATCGTACTGGATCTTACTTGACTCGAGATTTTACATGAAGAACTGGCATATACGTATTCCTGCTGTCAGTTGCTAGATTTCATTCTACGAGGAATATACTACGTTCTGGAGCTCTTTTATAGTATTAACCACAGCATCCGTGGTATTTATGAGCACTTTTTCTCTTAATTGGTTAATTGCTCTTACTACATAAACTCTTGTCAGACATATGAATATGGAACTCTTTCAACAACGTTATAAAACTTTTTTGGCTCTGATATGAGCCGATCTTTTTCTACAACAATCCAGTCCTATTGGTATATTTGAAGCACCAAAACGAGCTTTAACCTCGCTTTGAATTTTGTCATTCGTTTTTCGGCCAATTTGTTAATAGACTACTTTTATTCACGTGCTCTTTAAAAAATGAAGCTATTTCGAAATGCGGTTAAAAGAGCAAAACAGCAGTCGTTTTTGACCAAATAAGAGCCATCCATACGTCCAACTCTTCATTACCAGCATAAAAGGCATTTTGTTTCGTCTACCATTTGCTGGCTTATTGTTTGACTTTATTTTGAAAACTATTTATGAACATAAAATGTAGTGAATTTGAAAAGACAAAAGGAGCAAGAATGCAAAAAACACCAACAAATTGAAAATATGTGCAGAGCAACAACGCAGAGCGCGGTCGGAGAGCGCATTCAGCGGACGATCGGCAGATAAATGCAAAATGCTTTGGCAGACAAGCCGGCGCTGGCAGTCAGCCGGTGGCTTACAATGTCCCGCACTGCGCTACACCACTAGTAAGTCAAACAAACAGTCAACAAATCGACTGGACTAACCAGCCAGCCGACCAAATAGTGTAATAAAGGGCAAAACTTTTTACAAATGGCTTTCAACTGCACGTGACTGCAAACAGAACTCGAAGTTTTGCTCCACTTTTTACTCAAAAAAAATATTATAGTAAATAAAATAAATGAAAACGCTTTTGTTCTTTTGCTCGGTTATGTCATATTATTGTTTTAATATTTCTATATTTTCTTTTTTTTGGCGCAGAAGTTTTCATGCACTGCCGTTATTGGCATTTGGTTTTAGCATTTGCGCGTGCAGTTTTTATAATAATTGCTGCCTTTTCAGAGTTGCCATTACAGCTTTTGGTTTTCTTAGGTATATATCAAGCATTTTCATATAGATACATATATTCCATAATCTTTTGAAAACAGATAAATAAAACTGGTAGAAGCCTTCATTAAACCATGAAAATCATGGGTTCGTTTTGTTCAAGCCTTGTCTGTGACGTTTTATGAAGAGTTAAGAAAAAAGAAATTTTTTTATTTCCTGAAATTTAATCGCTTCGACCCAAAAATGTCACAGTATAGAGTTATAACAATAGTGCAAATCTTTGGACAATTTACGCCATTATTGATTTTGTTAATGGCTTTCTGTCCGTTCGTCCGTCCGTCTGTCTGTATGTATGTGAACTAGTCCCTCTGTTTTTGAGATATTGATCTGAAATCATTTTTGCTCATTTTTCGGAACGGCCGATTTCGGAACACTATATGCTATAGTAGTTATAGTAGATATATTCACGAAATTTGGCATGAGTTATCTTCTAAAACAACAATGTAATATCCGAAGAAATAACTTAGATCGGTTCACTATAGCATATAGCTTCCATACAAACTCAACAATCGGAAAAATGTGCTTGAATGGAAATCGTTTTCATTTGACGTGATATCTTCTCGAAATTTGACAAGCATTTTTTTAATAAATCGCACATATTTTAGTACTTCCAGAATTGTTCGGAAACTGCATGGCCGCCTTCGATAACATTTTTTCTCCTAAATATTCTCTTACTAATCACATTGTTGTTGTTAAAACAGCCACTTAAAGCAATTTGCAAAAATATTTTCTGGTTTTCCTGCTTGGATGTAAGGTTTGAAACTTCCCGGAACCATACAGCAGCAAGTTTAGCTTTTCAGTATCAGCATGGAAACTTTAAAGCCCGATAAATATTGGTTCGTTTTAATTTCATCCTACTGGGCTTCTACTGATCTTAACATAATAAAACTTCGTTCAGTTTTTGTTATTTAGTTTTTTCGAAAATATTTTCAACAATTTTTGTATATAAAATTTTAAATATTATATACGAGTCACTGTCTTGATTGCCACTAACTTTGAATTTTAACATGTTTACTCAAATTTTGTGCAAAGCTAATTATTTGCTTCTAGATTATTAAAAATTCAACAGTCTTTCTAATTAGAGGCGGATAAATGAGTGTGTAAATAAACTACAATTTTTGGTAGCGTCATATATTAAACCCTTTACTTTACTTTATACTTCTTTTGGCCTAACATTAAATATTAAAAAAATTAGAAATATGTACATCTACACTTTCGCAGATAAGTATGTGTTTGTGCATTACATAGTTTAATTTTCATAATTTCACATTCAGAAACACATAAAACACTCTCCGAGCACAATGCACCATCTCTCAGCCTTTTCTCTGATTTACAACTTTTATTTCTCGTTTTTGTTAGTTTTTTTTTTTTTGCTCAACTTTTGTAAAAGTTCCGCAATATTTTTGCCAGCCTATTGTTCTTTTGTCATTTGACTAACAACGAAAGCATTTAGACAGGCTTGCCAACTATTTTTGTATGCGTATGGAAATTTTGTGTTTGACACATGTGTGTGTACGTGTGCAAGTGGGTGTAGGGGTGAAGAGCTTATAAGCTATGGCAGTAATTACTTCTTACACATTTAACCCACATTTTATGCAAATAATTTCGGCAAACACTGACATTGCTCTAATGAGAGTTCCGTTTAATTAAACAAATTCGTTTTTTTTCTGAAATTGCTTGGAGATTTTTATTATCATTTCTATGAAATGTAAATTCAAGATAACAAAAAGTTGTTCTATTTAATATTAAAATATGGAGAAATCAGAAAAAGATTTAGAAAAAAATAGCGCTGTCGAATGACCAAAATGTTACGTGGCTGATAGCACTTATGTCATATTCTCGGATGCTGCAAGCACTAAATTTCTCTTTGTATAAGATAAACCTTATCTACCTTGGACTTGCATCGAAAGCATAATACATAATACCATATATTACATAGCACTTCTTAATCACCAGGTAAACAGTTCCGATATGTAATTTATTTCAGTATTTCAAGTTGATTTGAACTTCATACGATAGACTGTCGATTTCTAACAAATAACCGCCACTTCACTTTCTACACATATCTAGAGCGAAAAGTAAAGACTGATAAAAATCAAGACGCGCATAATTTCAATGATAATTGATATGACACATATAGAACTTGATTTCAAAGAATGAAATGCGAGCATACTGAAGGTATTTATGAAGGTATCACAACACTTATTAGAGCAACTCATTAACAATATAAAAACATTGAGAGATAAGGAAACACAACAATAACAGTGCACCCCGCAAGCACATTTGAAAAAAAGCTTGTTACTTCATACCTATACTGTTAGGTAAGCGGAGACAGCGCTGCATCACTTGGTGTGTGACTCACAAGCGCTTGCTTGTGGGTGCAAATGCCAGAGAAACACTCTCGAAGAGCGCAAGACACGTGGTATTCTAATTCAACCAGTGAATATGTATATTTAATAAAAATAAAAAAAAATTTTTTGATTTTTGCGCCCCTTCTTTAATATAGAAACAGGGCCATACTACTGTCATAAGTTAAACGCCCTATTGTTCCTCAGGCAATATAGTGTTGTACGTGCACTCGCATAATTGGTTCTAAGTAACTACATATTATGTACTCCTTCAACATTTGTACTTGAGCGTGTGACATTTATGCAACGTTACTATAAAAGCCAAGTAATTTAGTAAGCACTTTCAATTGATCGTTTGGCTTCGTAAACGCCTGGTTAGTATAAGTGACTAAAAGTAGGCACAGCAAATATAAAGAATGCTTCTCAAATTGGTTGTAATAGCAGCTTTCTGTTGCACCAACGCGCTAGCTAATTTCACCAGCTATGAGGGGTAAGTACGACACGTAAAGTGTTCATACATCGGTCTCTTAAAATATACGCCTACTTCCCACCAACAACAGTTATAAAATCTACGAGTTCACAGCTGAGAATACCATACAACAGGAGACCCTTGAGATCTTGGCGCAAAAAGAGACATATGACTTCTTCATGCTTCCACGCATCTTGGGACTCCCCATACATGTTCTGGTTACTCCAGCGGATCAATTGCAATTCCAGCAAACATTGCAGACAGCACAAATCTCTTACACAATCGTTAATGAGAATTTCGGCCAGAGCGTAGAAGTTGAGCGGATGCTAAACAGTATTTATCCAAAGCAACGTAATTCGGTACCTGGTAGCATTTCGTTCAACGTCTATCAACGTTATGGCGAGATCACCGCCTATCTGGAAGAGCTAGCCAAAATGTATTCAAGCCGCGTTAAGCTAACATCTATCGGTGATTCGTACGAAGGGCGTCAACTACACGCCATCTCTATCACGAACGGCGATGGCATTTCAAATAAGAATGTCATAGTAATGGATGCAGGTATACACGCGCGTGAATGGATTGCGCCAGCCGCTGCGCTGTATGTCATTCAGCAATTAGTGGAGAATTACGAGCAAAACTCACATTTATTGGCTAATTACGATTGGATTATTGTACCGCTCGTCAATCCCGATGGCTACGAATACACTCATACACGCGAACGTCTGTGGCGTAAAACACGTAAGCCGGTGACCAGATTTTGCGCCGGTACGGATGCTAATCGTAACTTCGATTTTCATTGGGGTGAAGTCGGTGCTTCTAATACCGCTTGCGCGGATACTTTCAAAGGTCTCTCTGCCTTCTCAGAGCCAGAAACGCAAGCGTTACGCGATTTAATGCATTCGCTGACCGGTCGCGCGAAATTTTACCTCACTTTACACGCGTACGGCAACTATTTACTCTACCCGTGGGGTTACAGTTCGTAAGTACAGATACAATGTTATGTATTTTTAAACACTAACAACCAAACATATTCTCAGTGATCTGCCTGAAAATTGGCGTGACATTGATGATATTGCTCAAACCGGTGCGGCTGCCATTAAAAACGCTACGAGCACCGAATACACAGTGGGCAGTTCGACGAATGTTCTTTATGCCGCTGCTGGTGGCAGTGATGATTATGCTTTGGCCAAAGCGCAAATTCCCATTTCTATGACTATGGAGCTGCCGTCCGCAGGGAAAGAATTCGATCCACCGCAATCGAAAATTGAGGAACTGGCGTCTGAGACCTGGATTGGCATTAAGGCAATGGCGGAGAAGGTTATAGAAAAATACAAATCAGAATATGAGGAACAGAAATCAAGAAAAATTAGGTTTGAAATTGTAAGCTATATACATACATACATATTTTCTTAAGAATCGAAAGTTTGAGTGCTGTTTGTCTATCATAAAATCGTTAGAGATACGAAATCGTTCAATTATTTTGTTCTCCCATTGTGTAAGTTGATAGAACTTTACTGCTTGGCCTTGTTTGAAAATCAGAACTCCCCCTTCCATTCTATGGTTAATTCCTACATATATTATCTGTATATACTTATTTCAGGGTATTTTTGCGCCATGTTCTTAATAAGGTTAACCTTCAATATCAACATTTATGCAAGCTGTGTGGTTGAACTTTCCACAAAATAATATTGACTATTCAACTTTAATCTCTAAGTAAGAGTGGTGATCCACTTGACTGCATCTCAACCTTGTAGTTGCTTTGAGGATTCACAAAAAATTAAAGGAAGAAGAGAGGCGAAAAGGCAAAAATGATGGAAACCCCACCGATAGAACTAAAAAATATACCACAAACTAAAGCCGTCCAGTTAGAACTCACCAACGAAGTTTGAACACAAACAAATCATGATTTTTGTAATAAAACTTTTCAAGAATTTTGTTAAAGAAACTGTTTGATGGAATTCCATATTTTCTAATACAAGTTCAGGCTCATTTAAATACATCCCACTGTGTAACTCTGAACATTTTGTCACTTTGGGAACAATTGTTGTAGATTATATGTTGTCCAACTCCGTTCCAGAAGAATGCAAAAATGGCTAGGGCGTCTTGAATCCGATGCTATTAAACTTTCTCATTTATAGATTTAACATGCGTTCCTAAGTTTGTCTAGATGTCTTCCAAAAAAAGTCCTAATCAAAGTTGATTTTAAGTTTTGATGGAGATTCCGTAGAAAGTGTGCTTCAGTCCGCCAATGAACCAATGCAAGTCCAAACTTTTTAATGGCTAACCAGTTTTTCTGGAAATCTAACAAGACTTTCTGAAAATAGTATTGAAGTTTTGATCGCTTGTTAATTTTTTAAGAGCAGGTGCACAGAGTGATTATTTCAAAAACGAAGTCAAAATGGTCAGACGATTTATTACGTTTACGAATGTAAATTCTTTGTAATGGAATTTTAAGTTAAAGGTATTTATTTTATGTTACAAAATTAACAAGAACTAATTTATGGTTTAGTTATATAATATATAGATCGATACTTTAGTTTATCCTGTATTTTGCACATTTTATTTACGTCTTTGCATATGGTTACATAAAGTTTTAGTTGTATACCCCCCAATTCCCCCATTTATTCGTTTTTCAGTGTATTTGTGTATGCCTTAAGGTAATAAAAAAGTTAAGTGTAGCTGCCCAAATTCGCCTATATGCGTATAATTTGTAATATATTAACGTCATCTTTTGCATTCAAAGTCAAATTTGCCCTGCAAAGCCGCTGCTTCGCCCTGTTGTTGTGCGGTATTTTTGTGTGTTTTCAATAATCCTGATATATCTGCCGATATTACGGGAATTGTGGCATGCCATATCTTCGGGTGACAATATTCATTCAACAAAATTTGAAGACTATGCTCTTGAAACCACAAAGCAGCTGGGTGGCAAATATCACTGGTTTTAATTCCCTCCATCGTTGTATAAAATTTTACTTCATGGTTTTTAAGTTAAAAAACCTTCCTTGGTTCCGATTGGAGAGCTTTCTGAAGAAGTTGGCAGACAAGGATGAAAGATATAGAAAGTTTCCGATTACAAGTACAAGATTACTTGTACTACATGCACGGAAAATTTCACGCGTCGCTTTAAATACAGATTTTATTAACATTCATTATAAAATCGGTCGAAAGGAAGGACATTTATTCAAGTTTTCTTTATTTATTCTTTTACTACACATTTTTTCACTTCACCAGTTTTTCTACAATATGTTATTTACCTCAATCTGTTCTACTTACAACCTAATCTGCTCTAACATGGCACCGCTTAATGTAAATTTCAAAAATTGTCTATTTACACAGCAGGCAGCACTTGAATTCCAAAAAGAACAGAAAGTCCATACGATTAACCGTATTGCAGATTATTTACCGTCCGACATTATCAGCAACTCTTTCATAGCTTCGAAGTTTAAGGTCATAAACTCCAACACAGTTTTAATTAGTAGCAGAATAAATATATCAGGCACATGTTTGGTAGAACCAAAATAAAATAAAAAGAATAGCCGATAAGAATTTCAAAAGTTTGCAAATCCAAATCATTTTATTACGGTAAATTCCCATGTCTTTTATTATTATAATTTTTTTTGACGGCAATGCGTTGTATCGCGCGACATGTATAAAATTACGAAAGTGTTTTGGTCACTGGTAATGGATACTTGGTTGTTATCTTCTTACCCATCGCACGTATGCCCGTCCAAGTCTCTTTCACCAACCGATCAATATCCGATGGTGGAGGATCGAAACCGCTATCACCACCATCCGGTAACTCCATAGTATAGGCTAGCGTAAAACCTTCGCTGAAAGCATAATCATCGCTGGCTCCAGCAGCTTCACCATAAAGTGCTGTTGAGGAGCCTACCTCATATTCGGTGCCGCTATAGTCACGTATAGCATCGGCGCCGGCCGTTGCCACCTCGTCTAGGTCCTCCCAAGTGTCGGGTAACTCACTTTATTTTTATTAAACAAATGCACATATATACAATATATTTTTTAGTACAAAATTTATCTCTACTTACGGTCCCCAGCCCCATGGATAGAAGAGAGCATTGCCGAATGAGTGTATAGTCAAATACATAATACCACGTCCGCTCAGCGTGTGCATAATATCACGCACGACAACCGCTTCCGGTTCTGAGAATGCACTCGGACCAGCATAAACTTCCGAGCAAGGATTCGAAGATGCACCTTTGCCCATCCAATGGAAGCCGAAGTTACGGTTTGGATCGGTACCATAGCATGTGACTCCATTTACTGTCACCGGCTGACGTGTCTTACGCCATAAACGAAGAGAACTCGACGACTGTGTGTACTCATAGCCATCAGCATTCACCACCGGTAATATAACCCAATCGTAATCTTGCAGTAATTCAGCATTTGCTTCGAAATTCTCAACCAATTCACCAATAGCATAAACTACAGTAGCCGGTGAGATCCATTCGCGAGCATGAAAGGCGCCATCCATGAAGATCACATTTTTGCCGGTAATACCATCGCCATTGGTAATGGTAATCGTTTTCAGTATGCGTCCCTCATAGGTCTTACCCACAATTCGTACGTATACGCGTGTGGGATAACGTGCCGCCAAATCGTCCAAGTAAGCATTGATCTCTTCATGTGAGTAGTAACGTTCGGTACCCAGACGACCGGTGCCGTTGTATGGCCTCGCCTGACGTAGCATACGGTTCTGCAGCACTTCAGTTTGAATGGTACGTCCGAAATTGGTGTTTTTCAATTCAAATGGTATTTTTTTATTGCGCAGCTCAGCTTGGAAACTCTCATCATGTGCAGGCGCTACAAGCACACGAGCTTTTTGCGTGTGCAAACGACTCAGCGAGAGGAAGTCATATTTATCGGCATCCTCCTGGGCAAGCGCGAGTAGTGCATTTCGTTGAGCAATCGTCTCCGTTGCAATTTCGTATAATTTGTAGCTAAAAATATCGATAAGTCTTCAATAATAAATGGATGTCCAAAAATGTTCATCCTTCGTCTTACCCTTCATATGGGCCCGCCGCAACGAACTCATGAGCTACGCATAAAAGCGCCAAGAGGGCCAAAACTTTCATTGCCATTATTATCACAACCTTCGCAGTCAAACTCCACTAATGTACTAACTTCTTAAATACTCAATTGCTATATATTAAAGTGTTACTTTTTATGAATTTCCGTCCGACTGATTGATAGTAGCTGGGCTTATCAATATAGCCAATTCACGCGCGCCACTTCATATCGTTAATTATTCGGTACAATTTAGTACTTCTGATTTGCCTCCAGAGAATTTTTTATTTTTCTCTATCGATTCATGTCGTATATAACATATATGTACATATACATAACATTGTTGAAACCCACAAACAACTTGCAAGCCGTACCATTCTTCTTCTTATCTTAATAACTAATTAGACGATAAGCACTTTGCCTCCATTATGATTCTACTACTGAGTATAACAAAGAATTATGGTCACTACAAGAGAGTAGACTTTGTAATTGTACACAGTGGTATACAACAACAAAAACTAATTAAAATTTTTGTGATGAGTGAAAAATTTTTTAATTGATAGTAAACAATAAAATTGAGTAGTTTATATTATGGATCATATATTTATCGATTACTTGAGAAGTTTTTAGTTTCTACTACCTAGTTAAAGTTCGGTTAGTTTAGTTGGTGGCTTCCAGAGTTCGTCGAATTTATGATGCCTTAACTTTTGCAATAAATTCGGAAACATATATAAATTGGAGATGAAAGGAAAGGTGGAGGTGACTAAAAATATTCCACTTCCATGTAAATCTTTCGGAAAGAACTGTATAAGTAATAAATTAATATATTATATATAATTAAAATTTTGATATTGCCGTGTTAAACCAGTAGCATTGATCGATTGCCTGTAATTATCACTATTTGTAATAACGTTGTATCCATTTTGAGTTTCAAAAAAGTATGAATCATTAATACCGTCCACATGAAGATCATATGAATTAAGGCAATTATATCTTTTACATTATACTTATACTCATGGTCGATGTGAGAAGTGCTCTGGGATTTTTTCCATAAATCATCAAATCTCTTGTGAACATCCACCATTAACGAAAAAGAAACACAATATCTCCCGAGATCATTAACTTATTAATTTTCAAAACCAAATGAATTACATATAATAACAAATCATGGATATATATAAAAAAATATACTCTAAACACTGTTTTCGGCTCGTGTTAGTTCTTGGGATCTTTGAAGATTTCCTGAAATCCTACCACGAGCCATCTTTTGCGTGCGAGCTGATTAGGTTGCTAAAAAGAAGTATCGAAAAGAGAAGTTTCGATTAGTCACTAAGTCGCCAAAATGAACTCGGCTAGCAAAGCGCCTGTAATTAATAACATTAATATATGGAAGCAAAGATAAGATTTAAAAAACATTTAGAATTTATTAAAGAAGGAAAAAGAACTCAACATTGTTTCAAAAGCAGTAAATTGTTTACAAATTAACGCTTTTTGCTAATGGATATTTCTCAATCACTCTCTTTCCCATAGCACGAATGCCGACCCAAGTCTCTTTCACCAGACGATCAACAGAAGATGCTGGTGGATCAAAGCCATAGATACCACCACGTGGCAATTCCATAGTGAATGAAATTGGGAAGCCAGCTTGGAAAGCGTAGTCATCACTGGCACCAGCAGCCTCACCCAACAGACTAGTTGACGAGCCAACAGAATACCTGGAACCACTGTATGCTCTGATAGCATTTGCGCCAGCCAAACCAACTTCGTGCAAATCGTCAGCAGTTTCTGGAAGTGCGCTATAAATAATAAGAATTACGATAATTACAATTATATAAACAACTACATGTTTTTTTCAACTACTTACCTCGTATAACCCCATGGATACAGCAGATAGCTACCATATGAATGGACAGTCAAATACATAATACCGCGATTGCTGTACGTGTGAATAAGGTCACGTACGACAACAGCTTCGGGTTCCGAAAATGCCTTCGGGCCAGCGTAGGTAATGGAACAATGATTCGAAGATGCGCCTTTACCCAACCAATGGAAATCGAAATTACGGTTAGGATCAGTACCATAGCATGTCCTGCCCCTCACTGTCACCGGTTGACGTGTCTTACGCCATAAACGTGTGCTGCTTGACAGCTGTGAATATTCATAACCATCAGCATTGACCACAGGCAACACAACCCAATCATAATCTTGTAATAGCTCAGCATTTTTCTCGAAATTCTCAACCAATTCACCAATAGCATAAACCACCGATGCTGGTGAAATCCATTCACGTGCATGGAAAGCGCCATCCATCAAGATAACATTTTTACCCAAACGACCGTCGCCATTTGTTATGGTGATGGTTTTCAAAATACGACCTTCGTAAGACTTGCCAACAACTTTGAGTGTTACACGTGATGGATAACGTGCAGCCAAGTCATCCAAGTAAGCATTAATTTCTTCGTGACTGTAATAACGCTCAGTGCCGAGACGACCGGTACCGGAGTAAGGTTTCAACTGACGCAGTAGACGGTTTTCCAAGATTTCGATATCTAAAGAGCGACCGAAATTTGCATCTTCGAGTTTATAGCTAATATTTTTCTGTTCAAGTATTGTTTTGAAGTAATTCTCAATTTCGGACGAGATAAGCACACGTGCACTTTCGCCGGATATGCGACTTCGAGACAGGAAATCAAATTTATCCGCATCTTCAGAGAGTGTGGTAAGAGCCTCAATTTGTTCAGCTGTTGTGGGAGTCACTTCAAAAACTTTAAACCTAAAAGTATTGTGATTAACTTTTGTTACACATTAATATCCAACGTTTTACACTCATTCGAGTTATTTAGAAGTAAACTAAGCCTAACTAAGAAAGATGTTGGTTTATGTTGGAATTAAGCCAAAACGGCTATTTATTTTTTAATTCTTATTTAGACTGTTGACATGAAAAACAATTTATAAAACAGCAGAAGAAGTGTTTCTACTTTTTCGAGACTTGAACAGAAGATAAGGAAGTGAAGGTGTTTTTGGCGTAATTTAAAGTTGGTTAAGAGAATATGAGCAACGTACGGAGCAAAAGGATCGATAACTATAAAATAAGTAATTCAAGCCAACATATGGGCATTAAATAACAAAGATGAAAGAAAAATATTACGAAAACGTTTAAACTTCTGAACAAACTGAATCGAAGTATCACAAAGGGTTTAAAATGACAAGAATACTTATATCAGCCTGCCTTTCGAAGAATTGAGCAATCGTACACAGCTTAGAAGAGGCAACAGAGTTAGTAAAATAATTTGTAAGGCTTTTGATATTCAATTACTCCAAAAACCTTCTATATATTTTTGAATGAAATGTGTAAGATTATTAAAGGACTCGAAAGTAAAAATCATTAAATTTTAGATTAGCTTTCAGTGATTCAAGCAAGAGCAATGAATAAGTACAAGTGGAAGTATTTAGGTAGCACAATGGACTGGTGTTCTCAGTTTTCCAAGTGGGATCTTTATTGGCTTTTGTCACAGGATCGTTCTTTTAACTTAACTTTACCTAATCTAACCATATACTTTGTAAATGTTTCTTCAAAAATGCATTCCTTAATTTCTTTAAAAACTACTTTAACAATTTAAGAAAATGTTTTTAGATGCCTGTATATATGTATAATGAAAACAAATACTGGATGGCATCTGGAAATTAATAGAATTTTTCATCCTCTCTACTATGGTATCGTTTTGGCGACAAATTTTAAAAAATTTCAAATTTCTAGCAGAGCAGATATAACCATTAATTAACATCTCGGGTTTTGAGCTCCTATAAGGATCCCGTTTTACAATGGCCATTTCAAAAACACTGTTCACTTTCACAATATTTTAAAAATAAGTATTTAAAATATTTTGACAATTTTTACCCATCGTATTTCTCAGCGCTGGCTAGCGCCACAACAACCACGACCAGCAAAAGTGCTTTTATTAACATTGTTCACTACTTCACTTTAGTATACTAAATATGTTTTTAGAAAATTTCCGTCTATATATAGGCTCCGAATATCTTGAATATTCGAATCTAATCAATACAGGATATTCACAAATTATTTCACGTAAAATCTGAGCCAATCTAAATTAAATTGATTAAAATGCACGAATAATCGGAGATATGCATACTAAATTTATGGGGTGTAAAAGCTAATTTAAGACTAAAGAAGTATGTGACCGACGCCATTTCCATTTTTATTTGGTCATTCTGAGCTAATAATAATTTAATAAATGGTCAACACTTAAATGTTGGATCTCTACCATTAGATCTGCGGCATTTCTGTTAAATGGCAATCTAGGATTCTAATATAAATCAATAGAGAATTTTCTTTTTTTCTATTTTTTTCAAGAATCCAGTTTATTGAGCGAAGTCACAGAATTTTTGGTAAATCATTTGTTTTCTAATTTTAAATATTTATTACTTGCTTCAAAAATCGTAGAATCTTTTTCGCGTTTTGAAACAAAATATGTTTTAATTCCTAACCGACACTAACCTGTGCTCACTTCTGTTCGTTCAACAGGTATAAGCCTAGAAAACACTTATTCAGCATTTATATTATATTAATGGTAAAGTGTTTTCACAGTGTTTAATAAGCTTTTTTTTTTAGATTTCAGTAACAGAAAAATTTTATAATAACAAAAAATTTTGAGGTTATTCGGTTTTATGCCTGCCAAATATAAACTGAAAACAAACCCTAGTCATATGAATGCTTATAGCTGAATATTTATATACGTAGAACTGACATATCAGAATGCCCTCGTGCAAAGCCATATTTACATCTACTATGAAAACAGGCTCAGACTTAAAGTCTTATACATATATACTTATATAAAAGAATAATTTCTTTTCATTCATTATATTACTTTACCCATGAGTCTTCTAGAAAACCAAAGCGTTTAACCTAATAAACTAAATAATAATCTAATCTTGGGCGCATAAATCTAAGATTGACAACTTAAGTATGCTGATATTCGATAACAATTTCATAAGTTTTCGAGTAGACAGCGATTTATTTCCTTTCGATTAACGTAATTTCTGTAAAGAAAAATTACGGTTCCGTTTTATCAGCAATTTTGCACGTTGAGATTTATGCCACCACTGCTGTAATCTAATCACTGTTAAAATCAAATAAAATTTAATAACGGAAAAATAGAATGTGCGTATGTAAATAAATAAAAGAAAATAAAAATCACAACAAATGAATAAATGCATTTAATCAAAAGTGCAATAATTTAAACAAAATACACGTGGAATTTAATGGATAGGTAGAATCTGAGTTTAAAATAGTTCCCTAAATAAATAAAAAAACATCATACTTTTACCGAGAAACTGTTCATAGAACATCAATGCACTAAAGCTAAAACTTCTCGACAGTCATACCTTCGGCGAACCACTAGCATTAGCCGTCTTAACAAATTTGCGACAGGTTCAAGGCGCTTCTACGATTTTTAAGGTCCAATGAAGAGGAATTTTAGGCAACACAGCGGACCGACGCTCTAAGCTCTTCAAGTGAGATCCCTGTTAGCATCGACTTCTTAATTTAACCTAATTTGGGGTTCAGCGCAAAATACAATATATTTATACATATAATATATATATATTATTTTATAATTTTTCCTATATATATTAGGTAAAGTAAAAAGTTCGTTCGGCACTGCGTCCCTATTGCCAAAAAACTCGGAGAGCCAATTTTCACAGGCCTCTCTTGAGGTCAACTTCTCACCATTAAGCGCGATCGCCATGGACAGGAAAAGATGGTAATCACTTGGTGCCAGATCCGGACTATAAGGTGGGTGCATTAGGACCTCCCATCCGAGCTCTCGGAGCTTCTGGCGCGTCACCAAAGACGTGTGTGACCTGGCATTGTTCTGATGGAACACAATTCGGCCTCTGTTGATCAAAGATGGCCTCTTCTGGATGAGTGCTGCCTTCAAGCGGTCTAGTTGTTGGCAGTAGAGGGCCGAATTGAGCGTTTGGCCATAGGGGAGCAGCTCGTAGTAAATGATTTCTTGCGAATCCCACCAAACACGCAGCAAAGCCTTCCGGCCGTCAATCCGGGCTTGGCCACCGTCTGGGCCGCTTTGACCACGACCGTTTGCGCTCGATATTGTCGTAAGTAACCCATTTTTCATCGCCAGTCACAATCCCTTTCAGAACCGGGTCGATTTTGTTACGATTCAGCAGCGATTCGCAGATGGAAATTCGATCCATCATGTTTTTTGCGTTAGTTCGTGTGGCACCCAAACATCGAGCTTCTTTTTGAATCCAAGGTTATGCAAATGGTTCCAAACGGTTTTCTGGCTTATCTTTATTTCCTCAGCAATTAAATAAGTGCTCACGTGACGGTCTGTTTCCACTATTTCCATGATTTTATCTCAATTTTCGACGACAGGCCTCCCGACGCGTGGTGCATCTTTGACATCGAAATTACCGGAACGGAACCTAGCAAATTACTTTTGTGCAAAACGTTCGTTTACAGTATCGGGCCCATAAACTAAATTAATTTTTCCAGCCGCTTGGCTTTTTTCGCCTTGATCGAAGAAAAATTGTAAAATATAGCGAATTTTCTCTTTGCTGGTGTCCATCTTTGACGAGCGTTCACAACGTACTGAGTCAATCAATCGAAAAACTGTCAAGGACAAACTTTTAGCGCGAATAAACACGTTTTCAGCGCCGTATAGTATGACATGATGCGACAACTAACACTAATACTAAGGATAATAACGCCATCTCTTAAATAAAAACCGAACGAACTTTTTACTTGACCTAATATATATATAAATAGATATCCGAAACTACTGTATTTCCATCCGAAGTTAAAATATGACATAATTTGCTTTCTTTTGAAAATTTAATCAATAAAATCATAATTAATTTAATAATCAAAATTGGAAGGAACAAAATAAAATACCTTGTGTCCTATAAATTCTAAGATAACATTATGGCAACAGCGTTCTAAGAGTAGCATAACTGGAAAATGTTAATACGCTTTAAATGAGCTTTTTTATTATAGCGCACATGTAAGGAGCTTTTAATGCTTTATTTAAACATTCAAACAACAACGACCTATGCCATATCTATATATACATATATATATGCAAATCAAAACAAGTCAGGTGAAGCGTTCAAAATGTCCACGTTTATTTGAGAAGAACATTTATAATAGTATTATTCAAAACATTGCCTAACTGAAGTTATAACATATCGAAATTTCCCTTTCGCTGTTTTCCTAATAGTTTTTAACCGGTCTCGCCACATCAGGCCGAGCGTTGTGATGATGGAAAATTATTGCCTCATGTCTTGGCGAGCAAGTTTTCTATTTGTGGTTTCACCGGATTCAAAAGCTCATAATACAGTACGTCTTTCTGATCTCACCAACATTTCTGATATGCAAAATCGTCTTTGGTCATCTCTTGGCTACAACACTAGCGATAATATTCTGCTTGGGTCTTCACCCACTTTCCTTCAAGACTATTAAAATACTCCTATAATCGTTTTTGTTATTTTATAAAATCTCATTTATTTCATTTAAATTAAATTGTACACCAAGTTACTACTTAAATATATACTAATTAACACACAGACATAAAAAAATTTGCTTTACTTAAGTAATTAACATTCAACTTCACTGCAGAATACAGCAGCAATCCCCCCTCCTTTGCACTAATACAAACTAACGTGTCGAATAAACTCGATAAAACCGGCGAATGTCTCCTTGCAAATGTGAATGATATCGGCTGGCGCCACTTGGAAGTTCTCACCGGGTAACTCGACCGTGAAGGACATGGGGATGCCCAAATTGCCATAAGCGTAATCGTCCAAACCGCCAGAAGCCTCGTAAAGTATGCTGGCCGAAGTGCCGACGGTGTAATGGGTGCCACGGTATTTGGCGATTTGGTTGGCGGCGCGTTGAGCAACCGAATGCAGTAGGTTGCGGGTGGGAGCAGCAGCATTCCTACGGTGTGGGAATAATTGATAATTGTGGTAATTAGTGAGATTACATTTTTTCGAAGCTCATAATTTGAAAACGAAATTTATTCCTTCGAACTGCTTACTTGCTTACCTCGAATAACCGTAAGGATAGAACAAGAACTTTCCAAATGAGTGCACATCCAAGCTGAGTTTCACGCGATGACGATTGTATTCCAAATAACGTGCAACTGCCGCTGTCTCTGGCTCCGATGTGGGACCGGTGCCGGAGTAGACTTCAGAGCAAAGCTACAGACACGAAAATTTTATTTAAAAAAAGTTTAATTTTAGTGTTTTAGTTTAAAAGTGGACCCACATTTTGACTGGCGCCATGATAATTCCAGTTGTTCGGGAAGTTACGATTAATATCCACACCCGTGCAGGAGCGACCACCATAGCGATGACGATTTTTGCGCCAAAAACGGTCCTAGCGAATGAAAAAAAAACATTGGATTAACTCATAAATACTTAAGAATCTGCAATAAATTCAAATATCTCGCAACTCACATTCGTGAAGGAGTACTCATAACCATCAGGATTGACCAGTGGCACCAAATAAATTTCAACATCTTGCAACACCCTTTGGAATGCGCGTAAATTATTCAACAATTCATTGGCCAAATAAAGTACAGTTAGTGGTGTAATCCACTCACGTCCGTGTGTCGCCGACTGTATATAGGCCACGCGACGATCACGCACCCGGCTATTTAGCGATATGGAGAGCGCCGCTATGTGGCGACCCTCAAAAGAGCGACCCAGTGATTCGTAGCGGCAATTTTGCGGATGACGGGCAGCCAAAGCGCTCATATAATTTAAAATCTGTGAAATTTTCAGGAATTTAAGTTTCGATAATAATTCAATTGTAAATTTTATTCCAATATGACAAACCTCTGAGTAGCGCGGAAAGTGCGAGAAGAAACCGCGCGCTTGTCGTCTTGGGCGATTGAGCTCGCACTCAGAACCGTCGCAGCTGCTGAGTGTTTCATTGAAAGCGAACCTGAAAAATATATTATAAATATATTTCTCATTAAAAAAGTATATATTTCTCAATTTTTTAGTAGACTTACATCTCCTCCATCAGCGGTTTGGCCACAAATTGTGCATTCAGTTCGTTTAGTCGCGACTCAAATGTGGACTGCTCTGTGGGTGATACTGTGACGACAGACATATTACGTGTTAGCAGCCAAAAGTCCAGTTCCGTTGATTCTGTTTGTAAATCGACAAGATAGTTGAAGACATCCTCGCCATCGTGGAAGACTGTGTATTTGTTGTAGCTATAAAATAGATTCAAATAATAATTAAGATTATTAATGGTTACGAAGTTTATGTAATGATGAGCATTATGTTGTTATATTTTTTATTTTATATCTACATTGTACATACATAATACCTTATTTTATATATTTGATTATACTATGTTCAGACTATTTTTAATGTTGTAGAGTATTTCTAATAGATAATTTACCTGACTATAATCAGGGTTTCTATTTATTCACAAATCTGACAGTTATACATTGTTTAAATAATATTAAATACAAACATTTTACCTCTACGACAAAACTTATCTTAAGCTTTAGAATTCGTTCATGGAACTTTGTGTACCTCTTTTTAAGAATGAAAAAATCATCCACATGGACAAGCTCCAATATAAATTTTACGTTGAACAAGGTACATTAAATCTGCCACGAAGTTTGGAACACCCCGAAAGAAAGATGGATTGAGCCATGTCCGTCTTTCTGTCCATCTGTTTATATGCGAACTAGTCCCCCAGTTTTCTGAATCTCAAATTTTGCACACGACCTTTTCTTTCAAAGAAGCTACTTATTTGTCGAGACCACCGATATCAGATCACTATAGTATATAGCTGTCATACTTACTGACCGATCAAAATCGAATCGAAACTTTTTTATTTGACTAGATATCTTAAAAAAATTTGGCATGGATTTTTGTCCAAGGTCACCCTAGCGTCTCCGAACCAAGCTGGTACGCAAACTAACCGATAAAGACAGAGCTCTTTTTTCCTTATTAAGTTACCTAGACTTGAAGGTTTTTATATGAAACAATGTAGCTATGTAGAAAAAACTAGGTTTCCTCTGGATGCAAACTTTGGTCAGGTATTATAGTTTCGGGGCAGCTAAAGTTAAGGTTTTTTTCTTTATTTTATACAAATAAAATGTACATTCTGTGAAGCAAAATGATTGTTAATCGAAACTGTAATATTTATGGGTTCAACCGAATTGAATTATGAGAATCCTGAATATTCTTATTCAAAGCCCCTACCTTAACTGAAAGATTTGTATCGAAAAGTGAGCTGCTGTTCTCAAGTATAATATTTACGAAGCCCAAGGTTATTCTGAACATTTCAAATAATATATTCTTAACCGACTATTACTATTAGAACTAGAAGGTATAATAAGTCTCGTTTATAATGTTTTTGTCATTGTATATTTCTTAAATTTTTTTTCGAAAAAATTCTCATTAAGAATAAAAAAATGCATGCCTCGTCAAAGTGGTGAAGTTCTCACACATTGCCATACGAAGACAAGGATTTAAGATCGATATATATGTGCTTATATATGCTATCCGTCGCAAAGTTTACAATTATAAGTAAGTTTATAACACCCAAAAGGAAACGTCGGAGACCCTACAAAGCATATACATAATTGATCAGCATGACGAGCCATGTCGGTCTGTCTGTCTGTATATATACGAACTAGTCCTCTCAGTTTTTGAGTTATTAGCCTGAAATTTTGCACCCGGTCTTTTCTCACCAAGAAGCTGCTCATTTTTTGGAACCGGATATGGGACTACTATAGCATATAGCTGTCATACAAACGGAACGATCGGAATCAAGATTAAATCTTTTTATACTTCTATATGCTATAAAAGATGCACCTGTGAAGAGTATTATAGTTTCAGTGCAGCCAAAATTAAGTTCAGCTTTTCTTGTTTTTAGAATAAGATCGCCTAGGACCTCGAAAATTTTAAGAGTTTAGACCAAAATCTAATAAAAAAAAATTAATAAAAATTTAAAAACTTTTTTTATGACTTCATATCTAAACGGAAATTATTTCCTTCACCTAACAGGGTGTGCTTATTATTGCACTTGTCAATAAATAAAGAATTTATAAAAAAGAAAATCAACTCTTCTCTAAAACTTTTGCAACACTGCATTTTTTTATCGAACTAAATATATTTTTTACCGCAAAATATAAATTCTTTTATATCTTGTAAATTTTATATAATGAATTTCTATCTGTATTTTTCAAAAGTTAGTTTTCAGGTTATTATCATTTTTATTGCTTAATTATAGCACACGTTAAGTGCTTGGCATTTTTAAATTAATATTTTTTTTTTTAATCGCAAAGCTGCCAGATATTTTTGAAGTCATTAACAATTTTATCACAAATAAATACGTCTTAGTTGCATTGTTAAAAAGAAATTATTTTGGTGAAAAAATTACAAATGTTTTAAATAATAAAAAAATATTTTAAACAATAAACGCAAACAAAGGCAAAATCAAAAACAAAAAATGGATAGTGATGTTGATAATTTCAAAATCGTTGCATAAAAGATATTCACAAACAAAATACTGCTTAACACGTGTTTGTGTAAATGAAATTGCTGCTTCAACACCTGGCAACTCACAAACATACATATATACAACAATAACAACGTCGTCGACATTGCAGCAACAGTAGCAGTATGAATTTCGAAATTTCTATTGTCATGATTAAGGGAATTAAAATAATCACGCAAGCGCACAAAATCAAAAATACCAAATAAAAAAACAAAAACAACTAATACCGAAAATTCTGCAACTCAAGCGGTAGTGACAAGTGCAACGCGGGCAACGGAAAAGCTAAAACAAACAATTGCGTAGCAAAAAATTACACATACACACACATATCTGTATATGATAAATAAACGCATATATTCGTATAAATGTACAAATATTTAGGATTTGAATTCTTAATTGGCGTTTGCTTTGACTTTGAGCTTCATGGCTTGATACATACATATATCTTGTCGATGCCACATCATGCATCTCCAACAAAAAATGTTAAGCGTTATAACTGGTATATAACAGGTATACAATTATTTACTATGCAAACATACATACATATGCACATGAATGAAGATGCCGCCAATGTTTGTTTTCAAATTGCAGACAACCTTAATAAGATCGCCCTCTAGACACTACACTGATGGCGCCACTATAGGCACCAGCATGGAAGTCATCGGAGATCACCAAGAGTTTAACAAGTGAAAAAAAACTACAAGAAATCAAACAACGTATTTGAAGTTAAATAAGTTTTTTATATTTAACTTTTTTGTTTTGATTTTATTTTCATTTTTTTTTTTTATTTTTTTTTTTTTTATTTGAAAACCTTTAAGGTCTTGGAGTCGGTGATTTTTATTTATTTTATTCATATGCAGATATGATTTTGACTATAAAATTCATCATTATAACTTCAGATCTTTTTGTACCTTTTCATGCCTTAACAAAAATGCATCTGTGAATGGTATTGTAGTTTCGGTGCAACCGAAGTTAATGTTTTTTTTGTAAAAATTTGAGACAAACTTCTTTTTGAAACGAAAATTTTATTCCATAAACTTTATGTATTTTTAGTAAATACACATATGCCTATTACTTTATATATATAACTGATGTATGGTCCAATTCGCCATTTAACAAGTAATTATGTATTATAATGAAACTTCATTTCTCTTTTCTCACAGGTATTCTGATCAACCCAGTCTTAGCTGGTTGTCATTAGCGGTGCAGTAATTAAGACAATAAGTATGTAGCACTTCTTTTCTTAAATATTCATAAACGTTAAATTTCGTGCTGGACAACAAAGTGATAAATGATCAATATTTGCTTCCGTTGTCGAATACTTTCAGCATAATTCGTTGGTCGTGTCATCAAGGTCAGTACACTTATATACACACATACTATATACAATATATATATTCACATCTATGCGGTGAAGTGTATGCCGCTGCGGTCACCACTCTATATCTGCCTAACAATGTTTAATGAGTTAGTGATAACTTAACAGATAACCTGATAAATAACTTCCGCTGACAGTAACATAAATTGAATATGCATGCATATATGTATTTACCAATATATCCAATATATGTACTACATAATCTAGATATGTAAATTGCTGTTAAAAATCTTGCGTGAAATGTGATAAATTTAATTGAAAATATTTGTGCTTTATTTATTTATGAGGAATGCTTTGCCATAGTTTATCACATCTTCATATCGGCACAAATACCATCAAATAAGAGTTTAATTTAAAATTTGCATAAATAAGTGGATATTAAGTAAAATTACCATTAGTAATGCAACGGACTAATGAAATTTTATTTTATTTCTATGTATTAACTAAAAATATGCAAATTATACGCATTTACCAAAAGCCATTGCAGAAGTACAATGCTGGACAACTACTTGGCGCATTAAGCTAAATGAAACCAAATCAGTGCATATAGATTTCACCAATAAACGTATACAGCACAAACCAATATATATGAACCAAAAAATAGTTCCGTATGAGAATACAGCAAAATATCTTGGTATGACCCTTGATACTAAACTCAGCTGGAAATCACATGTCAAAAAAAAACAAGAAGAATTAAAACTTAAGTACAGTGCCTTGTCAATATACAACAAGCTACTCTTGTATCAACAACTTCATCTTAAACCGATCTGGACTTATGGTATTCAACTCTGGGGCTGTATCAGTCAAAGCAACAGATTAATTATCCAAAGATTTCAAAACAAAGTACTTCGTGGTATTGTTAATGCACCCTGGTACATTCGTAATGACAACTTGCATATGGATCTGAATGTAAAAACTGTTGACACCGTCATCAAAAAGTATGCTCAAAGTCATGCACAACGACTTCAACAACATATCAACATTGAGGCTCTTCAGCTCCTTAAGAATGATGGCCTTACCAGAAGATTAAAGCGAGTAAAACCTTTCGAACTTGTGTAAAAAAAAAAAAAAAAAAATAATCATTGTTCAGGTCTCACTAAAATAGTGACTATAATACATACATATGTATAAGTTTAACATCTGAAATGAATATCATAGGATAAGCATTTTGTAATTTTAAAACCGTATAAATTTAAGTCAGAAACAAATAGTTTATTAGTATTAATTTACTAGATTGCTATAAAATAAATTCCCCAAAGGGGTGTTTTTACAAAATAAAAAAAAAAATAAAAAATTTACCATATAACGCATCTCATAAAATTTCTAATGAGCCTATTAATTTATGAAGACAAACAAAGACATTGGTACATTAATTTAAAATAGTGGAGTTTTGGAATTTTTTTGGAATTTCTGGACTTAAAATTTCAATGTCAAACATATGTATGTAACACAATTTTTACCTTTTCAATCGTGGTTAATTTCTGTCATTTCATTGGATTATCAATACTGCACTTCAATGATTACCGCTACTCAAGCATGATTTTGACTTTATTATTTTCAAACAGTATTTAACTACAAGCAATACGATACCAAATGTATGTATTATAAACATAAAAAAAAATACATATATCTAAATTAATGCAAAAATAAAATGTATACGGTACTGAGGTATCTAAGTGCGGTACGAAATTTCCATATAACAATGCCACATAGAAATAAATATATCTAATTTTGGTGCAAAAGTACCTTTTTACGGTACTATGGTATCAAAATTCGGTACTACAATGCCACATACAAATAAATATTTCTAAATTTGGTACAAAAGTACCGACAAACGGTTTGGGGGAATCTAAATTCGGTACAAAATTTAGGTATTACTACGCCACATATAAATAAATATTTCTAATTTCAGTTCAAAAGTACCTATATACTACTTCGGTATCTAAATTAGTTAAACAAATTTCGTATAACTACAAGTAGATGTTTATATACCACATAGCATTACTAAAAATGCTAAAGGTATGATATCTGTGCAATCAAAAGTCCTGCTAGTTATTTTAATAAAATTTGAGAGATACAAAACACAACACTTTATACTACTACGTACTTATACATATTACTATAGGGATCGTTTTGGAAATTAATAACTATCATAAAGTATAAAAATTATTATTTTCGAACTAACCTAAGGAAGAAATAAAGTATAGTGTAAGAAATAAGAAACACATTTTGGAGTGCAGTTGCCACCTGTAGTAAAAAGTAAAACTGAAAAAAGGGCGGAAAATGCCATATGTACATAATAATTTAAGGACGGAGGTTTTTTAGAACTTTTTAAATTAGATATAATTTGAATAGTCTTGGGGTAATTATTAACCAGGGTAGATCATTTTTTAAAACAAAAAAAGATCATAGGAACATAATTAAAACAAATTGAAAACAAAAGGGAAAGGAAAAATAATTTTCGGGCGATCACAGGTCGGGGAGAGAAAGGAAAAATTCGTGGTTGAATTTTAAGGGTTAAAAGCAGCTTATCTTTATTTCCGACCAAACTAAGCGTCTGATATAAAAAAGTTATATGAGAAAGTTGTAGGTAATGAAAAGATCTACAACTCTTGTGTTAACACCTTTTTCACATTACCAAAAAATTTATAATAAAAATTGAAACATTCAAATATTTGGGGTTTTTATGTACAAAAAAATGTGACTTGGCCGAAATTTGGTGTAAACTTACATTCTTATGTCTCAAATACACTGTATTTTTTTAAATTTAAAATATTTATTTTTCCACCTTTTTTTTGACTTGATATCGGAGAAAAGTCCTAATTATTCAATTCTCACGTCGAAATATCTGATTTTTTAAAAAGGTTGTTAGGCTTTTACTTTATTGAAATCTTTTTTCTATGATGGTATTATAAATATATGCATTATTATGGTAACTTTTCTCAGAAAATCCCAAAACAGATCTCACTAAACGATTCAAAAGCTGGTTTTTTTTATTTCGTATTTTATAACTATCATCAACTTAATAAACCTTTAAAAAATACTTAAATATGTGATACGCTTTTTTAACTATTCCAGCAATTTCTGCGTGATAAACTGCAGTTGGATAGCTGTGTATTCATAGAGCAATTGCTTCCACATGGAAAGAAAACGCAAAACAACAATGCACTCAGCAATTGTTATGCAAATAAAAGCTCTTATAAAGCATACATAAATGCTTTGCTTCATGTAAAATTTACATACAAATGCATAAATATGCAAGTAAGTATGTGAAAAGTGTTTTTTTTTACTTGCACTCATCTCCGTTAGCGCCACAAGGTTATTAAAAACGTAGAAAGTGAATTTATCTATGTAATAAAATCGCTTGCTATCAAACTACACAGCAAATTGCAACAAAAGGAAAGCAAACATTTTTAAAAATATTGCTATTAATTAATAAATATTATGAAAACACCAGCCCCCTGTTGTTCAAAATCATCAGTGTAGTTGTGAATGCGGAGTGATCGAAACATGCTATGCCAAAATTTCAATTTTGCAACAGATTAAATTTGTTTCTAATTTATTTGAAGTTTTAATACAACCTCATGTCGTTAACTCGGTCAAAAGCATGTGAAATATGAATTTCCAGCAGCGAGTTCGTGTCTTAAGTCTTTCGTTGTCCGCACTGTGTTTTGGTAGAGCTTTGAGCGCAGCATGCAAGTCTGCCAATTATGAATATAATTATTTAAGAATTCAAGTGCGTTTGAAAAATAAAAATTAAGCGGACGCATAATCAATTTGACTGCACAAAATTTGTTAATGAATTCGCTAAGGTCGTGTGGTGTAGAGATTGTGGCAGAGTTTTTGGAGAAAAGAAGCAACGTTGCAAGCTGTTGTGAGAATTGTTGTGGTATTTGATAGCTTTACATTTTATTTAAACACACTTGTCGTTATTTTGAAGAACATACATACAAGTATATGAAAATAAAAAAGTTTAGGTTAAATACGTTTGAGGTTTCAGGTAGTCATAGCGTATAAGTAACCTAAAAATTTATATAAAAATTCAAATATCCAAGTTTTTGGGTTTTTTGTTTTTAAATTTTCTTTCCGAAATTTGGTGTAAACTTTTATTTTTTTTTAATATAGCATAAAGTATACTTAATCAAAAATATTTACAACTTTTCAACATTGAAAAATTATAGTAAATAATCTAAGAAGAAATATTTTTTTCGATACTTATTTCCTTACTAAGCATAACATTTCATCATCAATTTGAATACCATTTTCTTACTTCTAATAATGCACACTTACCCTTCATAACGGTCCAAATTCGATGCGCTCGCTGCAGCGTACAACGCCAACACAGCTATACTGAATGTTTGCAGCCACATTGCAAGAAGAGTTGAAAAAGTTTTTATTTCACTAAGTTAGACTCTAAAAAAGTGTATGGCTTATATTTAAGCTTATATGGCACTTAATATAATCAATTTATGTATGCACTTTTTTATTTACTTCTTTTTTTTAACTTTTTTCGTTTATTTATTTTAACACTTTCGAGTTCTCATAATCTTGGTTTTATATTCTAAAATGCAAAATTGGAATAAATTAGATATATTTGAATTAACACGAGTTTTTTTTTTTTGCAAGCGTAATTTGCATTCAACAGCGAATTGGCATGCGCGAAGCATTGTCGGCGATGACATGAAGACACCGTGATATCGCGATTTGTGCAGTTGAGTGACTCGTGCACATGCGCGTTAGCATATTTTATGTGTGTGTGTGCGTTTGTAGATGATTGACAATTGCATTGTCTGTTTTGCCGCATTTATAAGTAATAATTGTACTTTTATATACATATTGTGAATATATGAAATACAAATAATAAAATTACTTCCCTATTGTGTTTTATGAGAGCTTTTGCATGATTTGTAATTTTTACTTTTGTTTGTAAGTAAAGAATGTAAATTTCTCCATTTTCAACAATTTTCTTTTCCCTCAAGTTGACTTTGCTTGAATAAAAAATGAATATACCTGCATATATTATATTTAAAAAATTTAACCCAAAACTATTTTCTGAAGATAATATTAATTTCCATGTTTTGCATTTAAATTAAATTAATTAAGAAAAACATTTAAAATATTAAGAAATAAACTTTTTTTTACTTTTTAAGAAAAATATGTATAATTAATTTTTAGGACTATTATAAAATATATAATAATAGTTAGACATTTTATTTGAAATTTTGACTGTTTTTCACATAAATTATTTTTTTTTGGTAAATCTTTTCATTAACTGTATTATATTTGTATAATGTAATTGAGATGAAATGAATTTTAGTTTCTTGGTACTAAATTTACAAAAAAAAAAATGTTTATTAATTTTTTTAATAAATTTTTTATATAATTTTTTTTTAATAATTTTTAAAGCATTTTTGTATAGTATATATAAAACAGTAAGTAATTTTACCTTTTATTTATAATTTAAATTAATTTTAATTTTAAAAATTTTATTATAACTAATTGTTTTTTGCGGTAGCTCTTATTATTAAATGTTGTTTTACTTTTTTTATTATATACATATACCATATACATATATTTTTATTAAAAAATGTGTACATATCTTTATGTAATTAAGAATTATTAATAAATAGAATAAATTGAATTAATTATTTATAATACAATTAAGTTATTATTAAATATTTGATTTACCCTTTCTTTCTCTTTTATTTAGAAAGTATTAATTAAAGAGTTAGCTGAAATAAATTCATAAATATTTCACTTTTTTTTATGGTTTTTCAGTTTTTTATAAAAAATTAATATAAAAAAAAATTATTTTTAATATTATTATATTTAATTTTAATTTAAAAAAATTATTATTTTTCAACATATTTCTTTGCTTGATGAGTTTTCAGTATTTTTTTTTTGTGTGTTTGCTTTGTTTATGCAAAATTTTTCACTTGCTTTTTGTAATTAGTTTTTATTAAAATTATATTTTTCTTGTAAAGGTGAAGATTTTGTGTTGATAATTTAAAATCTAATATTTATTGATTAACAGACCCAGGTTGTAATAAATAGTATCACATATTCTTTTGCATTTTTTATGCTGACCTTTACAAGTTATTTCCATAAAGTATATATTTTTATTTAATTTCGAACTTTTTTAATTATACTTGTAAATTTTATTTTTAGTATTTTTTAAATTTTTTTAATAATAGTTTTCTTGCTTTTCACCAAAACCCAAATACACGCAGGCACACACTTGAAAACAGCAGCATAAGCGCATTTAATTCTTCACTATTTAACACTTTAAAATTCACAAAACTCCAACAACAAGTCAATAACAATAATAACAATAGCAATAACCAATCCGTACCGCCAAGAGCTGCCCAGAGCTGACACGTCCGTACCGCTTTCGATTATACCGCAGACTGATGCTTACCTTCCGCCTTGGCTAAGAAAGAAGACGAGCGTGCGCGATTAGAAGTAGAAAAATATGCACGAAAAAGCAAAAAAAAAACACCAAACGCTCAAAAAAATTAAACAAAAATAGAAAAAAAATTAGTTTTAGATACAAGAAATTAAAATAATGAAGCTGGAGCTAAAGCTGCGACCGAAAATGAAAACGCGTTAACGGCGCGACCGCGCAATTAAATCTCGCCGAAAATATTTCGTCGGTGCTTGAAAAGCCGCAGCGGAACAGAAAAATCAAATAATCAAAAAGAAAAAATATTTAAAAAAAAAACATAATCAGAAACAGAAACATAAAGCAAAACAGATCAGCCGCTATTTGATATTTTTGTTGTAGGTATTGTTGTTGTTGTTTATAGAAGTGGTAGTAGCTGAAAAGTGAGTGTCAAGGTTAATTGATCCCCAAGTCAGCGACTACATGGCTTGTTATTTAATTTATTTCATATTACGTTTATCGTGTTATATTTGCTACCTTTGTTGTTGTGGTGGTTTACGTTGTTGCTGATGCTGTTGGTAATATTATGTTTAAGACTTTTTTCTAATATTAATTTTTTACATAGCACTAAAGAGGGACCGTTGAACCATTGAACTGTTGAACTACCGTTTAAACAGGTTGCGCATGCGCTCAGGCACCGTTGTATTTGTGCGTTTGTATGTGTGTAGCAGCTAATTGAGCGTAGTTGTTGTACGTCTGCGTGCGCAGAAAGGTGCCATTCACTGAATGCTGAGCCTGACAGTCACGCAGTGTTGCATTTGTTTTCCAAAATGACTGATGACCGACGGAAATGCGCGTGAACAACGGCAAAAATTAATAATGTTAGGTGTCAGGAGGCAATTGTTATATTTATTTTCCGCATTTTATATATTAGTATGCTTTTTTTGATGACGTAACTATGCGTCGCAGTTGTCCATTCTTGAAATTCTAAACGCTTTGGGGCGATAAAAAAAAATGTGTTACCCAATTCTTGTTTGCTCAAATGTCGCTTTGTTAAGTCTTTGCCAGATATTTACCGCTCAAATTATCACCTAGCCGCTTCACACAGGCGTCAGGCTTGCGTCATAGCGGTCACACTTGAGTAGTTGCTGTGAAATGCTAAGCCGCCCGTTGTCAATCGTCGCAGACAGTGCGACTGTTACGCTTTATTGTCATGCATATGTGGCTGGACGCAAGCCCTCACCAAAGCGGCGGAGTGACAATTATAATTTTTTTTTGTTTTATATACATATTTTTAAATTTTTTGTTTTTATTTTTATATTGATTTTTACGTTTATGACAATTATAATTTTATTTTTATAACTTTTTTAAGTTTCTTTTCATTTTTTATAATATTTGAATTTTTAGAATTTTATTGCATTGTGACAATTATACTTTTTCATTTAATTTTTTTATTTTTGTATTTTAAAATTTTGTATTTTTTTTAAATCAATTTTATTTATCACTTGTTTTCTGACGTGACTACTTGAGCCGAAAATTTAAAGCGAACTGACCACGTGCCACCTCATTAGCGTATTTTTGGGAATTTTTTCAAAATATCTCGCATAATCAGCATAAACTACTTTCGCCTTTGTTTTATTAAAAAAAAAAGTAAATATTTATGAAGTTTTTTTCAACTTTTTTTTTTCTTGAGAGCTGTTTTTCCATTTCAGCATAAATGGCTCACAAACTGAAACCATGTTCTTAAAAAAATGCTATTCGTTTTAGAATAAATATGCATTAAGGTGGGACTCAACTGTTGCAAGAAAACTTATACAGCTGTTTTCCTAAACTGCTCCCAAACTTAGATTGAAGGTGGTTAAGGCTTATTTCACAGAGTCAAACCACAGATTACCAGTTAAAAACTCAAAATAATTATATTTAATTTTAAGTATATAGTATATAATATATAGTATATTAGTATATATTCAAGTGCAAATGAGATACTTTTAATTTATTTATATATATTTTTTTTCTTTAAATTTTAATTTAAGTTGGAGACTATCAATCTCCAAAGCGTGTGAAAAAAGTATCTGATATCTTCTGTCAGAGTAGAAATTGAGCTTGGAGATTGCAAAAATCATTCTTCCACCCTAATGCCCAACGTCGTCGTTATGATAATGACTGTCAACTGCTAGACACCAGCATTCAATATTAAAAAGTAAAATATCAGAAAACAATGCAAAAACCCGTTCCAGATTAATCATTCGCTTCGGGCAAAGAATTATCAATATTTTTTTTGTATTATTTTGTAATATATTGCATAAATAATAATTTTCGCATCCGCATAAGTAGTTTTTTTTTTTGGAACATATAAATCTTGAAATTGATTTCAACATGGTTAAGTAGGTCGAAAACTTAGTACTTGCCCAAAAGGTAAAAAATGTAAGACAAATTCATTAGTAAAGGTATTTATTTTATCAACTAATTTACGAGTGCCTATTTTTACATATATTAATTACCTGACTATTATTCTTTAGATCATAGGCTCATTACCCGATCGATATGAAATATAACATTTTGTTGAAGTTAGACTTAATGAAGAAGTATCTGCAGTGCTTTTCTTCACTTGAAAATGTTTAGGTAAAAACCAGTTACCTGTTTTCAGACAGAGGTCCTGACAAATGCAGAAAAAGTTAAGTTTACATTACATATATTCAGAAAGTTCCACAGTTTTCTAGTAGGCAGACAAGCCATTTCTGCCTTCAAATACTGCCTAGAAGCAGAGGATTAAAATCGACTTATTAATAGTGTTTCAGTCTCAAGGTTTTCATAGGAGGGAGGTGACAGAGCGCAGAGCTAAATTTCACAGAAATTTACTTGGTATAGAAGAATGATTACTCATTTATACTTAGCTGCGTATCAACCTCCAATTCATACAACCAACCAAATAACTAACATCTATCTAATATTATATCTCTATCAGTGTATAAGGAAATCCTAGGAAAAGATTATAAAATCGAAAAAAGTGCTCAAAACGTTGAGGAATAGCTGTCAAACAAAGAGGGATAAAAGTCGAGTTAAATTTGGATATTTGACACTTTTTTTAGAATGCGGACGATTTTGGAGAGACAAGCTTCCTTTAATCCAAGAAATATATTACTGTCAGGTAAGCACGACAGGCTTATGATTTGAGACTTTTCGGCTTTCCGCGTCAAAATCAATCATTTAAGTGCTAATTGGTTGCAAAAATACGATGGAACAAGACATACTTAACTTGAGACTATCACTTTTTGTGACCTGATCAGTCAATTGATCACCAAGTGCGTGTGATTTCACTCTGATAAACTATTTTTTTATTAGAGTACGGTCTACACCAGAACAATTGCATCCTCAATTGCGAGATGAAAATCCAAAAAGTCCTAATCCTAAAAAACACCCTTTACTTCAAAAGTAAAGAATGCCTATAAATTTTGTATTTTTGATTTATTTCTCTATCCAGTAGAAAAAAAGATCATCCAAACCTTTTTGCACTCTAAATATTTTTAAAAATCTCCACCCTAGTTCGGAATTTTTAGATCAAGTGCAATAATATTATATTAACCTATTATGAATATAATGCCAAATTGACGTCAGAATTGGGAACAACTCGCGCTTACCACCAGCAGCAAGAATAAAACTACAACAAAAACAAAGTACCAACACAAAAAAGCCGATATTTGGGAATAACCCGTAATAGCCAGAAAAAATTGCCACAAGCGGAAGAAAAATATACGAAACCAATTGTAGTCAAATTAAACAAAAATAAAAAACTAAGTATTTCGAATAAAAACACGAGAGAAGAAATTGTCGCAGTCATTGACACAACGCCCGGCGCGGTTGCGCAAATTAAAAATATTTGTGTTGTTTCTATTTTTACGAGTACGGTTTGATTGTATTTAATCACAACAATAACTCTGGCTGTTCCGCTCGACTTCTTTTACAAATTGACACCTTAGTAGTTGTGCAAAAAATAGAGAGGCAATCAAAGACACTCTACCGCGAGCCGTTTACGTCATAATAGCAATCGAGATTTCATGCAGTCTGTCTACGTATTTATTTCAGAGAGTGTAATCTGAACGCTGTGCGCTTTCAATTCCCTTTCATTCTCTATATTACGCATACCGCCATTAATTTACTTAGTTGTTGACAAATCGAAGTAAATTCTGAAAATTTAATAAATTTTATTAACTCGGACCACGCGTAATTCCGGTTAGAGCATCAGCTTACTAAATTTATTTGAAGATTTCAAGCTCGTTTCATGCTATGTGTCTATGTAGTGGTGCTTGGCAGCTGTTGGTCAGTGACTTCGACAGTCGATATGAGTTTTTTATGCAAATTTCGGTTAGTTGCACGAAAAAGGTTTGGGGCAAATCACTAACAACAAACAAGAAAATTATAGCTAGATTTATATTTTCGTTCTTCAAATAAATAACAGCATACAAGTATATCATCTTTTTATGCATACATATGTAGTTAAATTATTTGGAATATTCACTCTAGTAAATGAATGATTTTTCCATTGACGCGCGCCGATGATAAATCAGTTTTTTAGTGTTTTTACGGCAATTATGTAAATTCTGTCTCGAAGTGAGTTATGAAGATGGCAATCAAATTTTTTTTCGGTGTCAGGAAACGTATAGTAGCGATGTTGTTGGACTACAAGGTACGCGGTTTAAGAAGTTTAGTTTTGGTTAGGCGA